TAGATTCATATTGTGATGAACAAAAGATGTCATAGAAACTCAATAATGGATAGTTTCTGAATAATCAAAGGTATTCTGTGAGTTCAAATTTTACATCTTTAATACATAGCTCAAAAATGATTTAATGCATGGAAAAAAATATATTGGATGGTACAGAAAAGCTACAATTTACTGCACGAATTCCAACATCTATAACTAAGAAGATTTGATAGTTTAACGAATCGCTAATGTTATTCAACTGTTAACTTTGCTTCGACATAAAAAAACTGACTGTCGTATATATAACAACCGTAGATTTGCTAAATCGGTAAAGTTTTTAGTGCTTTTTTCCATATGAATAGAAGAGAAGGTGATATTATTGGCATCCCAGTTACATTTTACACAATAACTTCATTAATAATCAATATTTAAGTTTAAAACTTAACAATTACATTCGTTAAAATCGAATCGATTCTAGACTCAAAGTTACGAAATATTTATTAGTTAGAACATTGTTAATAAAAATGTGGCGACATTACCATAATGACTTGAAGAAAAACATGAGTAGTAATGTGGTCTTCTATAAAAATAGCCTTGTTTAGAAAAAAATTTGTTTAGGAAACAGTATTTGGTCACAAAATTAACAAAAAAATAATACATTTTAGAATGTATTCAAATAAATGTAAGTACATTCACATAACTTCTGCATATAAGATGCTCAGTACTAAAAATCTCAGTACTAAAAATAGTATACGTAATATAAACTATAGATTAACAGTGGAGCTACAATCAAATAATTATTTTTATATGAAAACCTCAAAAAAAAGATCGTGAGTAATCAATACCCATAGAGGGCCACATTAGCAAAATGTAATGCTATTATTTAAATTTGCACAACTCAATATATATACAGTCAAATAAAATATTAAATAACAAACAACATACTAAAAAAAAATATATATATATATATATTCGCGTAATAATATACTCAAGTTTAAGAAAAATGAGGAAGTAGGTATAATTAAAAGCTGAAATGTACCTCAAAAACGTTTCGAAATACTTGAAAGTAAAAATGCATTATAATAAGTGTTGGCTTGGTATTAGTATGTTATAATGAATATTGGTATATTAGCATGATAGTGTAACGGTGCTACTGAACAAATAATTCCATAAGTTATCATTAAGATTCGTTATATAATAGTGAAGATATTAAGGAAGCCCACAATATATACACTGGCCATAATACTTCTCTACTTTCCATTTAGTGACACAAATCGACACAAACACCATTCCATCTTTCTTGATATTCAGAGAGTAACAAAGATAGAAAAACACTTGTATCAACTTGTATCACCAAATAGAAAGCACCCGTTATTGAATTGTGTTTATAATACCCTCTCTTTACAACTTTATAAATTACATTGTATGTATAAAAATTAAGTCATTTCACCGGGACTCTATATTTTCCATATAATTGGTGCAGGATCCTTTATAATTTTATTCTTTATATATTTTGCCATATTTCTACCAAGTCACTGAAAAATTCCAACTAATTAATAATTAATTACTCCAGAGGAATCAGATCTTTTTTCCGCGAAAAAAATTGCTCGAGATAATTTTCAAATTTCTCATGTTGATGTGTGTATCTTTCTCACGAATGGGCTTTTATAATTGGGAGGCAGCTTTCGTCCCGATCGGAATCAGATGCAAACAGAAAAAGAGAGAAAGAGAAAGAGAGAGAGAGAGATCGCATTTACCGCGGATAACTTTAACGAGACTTAACGAGTCTACTCATACAGACGGCTCCAGCGATCATCATTCTCGCGTTCCGCCTCTCCCACACTTCCCAGATCTCTGTGATCATCATCCCGTCTCTGTTCTACGACGCAGAAAGTGCTGCTATCCATCGTCAATCCTTGGGACGTGAAGGTAGCCAGTGTTGATCCGATCGGACTGGCTGAACGACGGGGCGTCTCCCTGTGTGTCTTACCATCACCTTCTAATCAAGACGAGAGTACCAATCAGGAGTGGTCGACCTTAGGCAGGGCCCTCAAGACACCGTCACCCTGGTACAAACCTGGTACTGGTTCCACCGATCACGTCAACTCCGTTAAACCCGAGGAATCGACGTTAATCGATCCCATCTGGTTGGATCCTTGGTCTTCACCAGGAAGGTATCTACAATTTTCTATCAAATATGTAAATATGTAAATAATAAATAAAAAATTGAATTTATATATAAATTATTATCACTCGGTACAAATGAAATTTTGTAATATGAATACTCTTTTGACGAATAAAATA